CAAATTTTAATTATGTGTCCACAGGAGATTTAATCAACATGTTCAAGCGATATCTCCACTGTTTATTGCAAGCATCATTTACAATAGTAAAGTTATGAACTCACCCTATGTGCCCACTGATGATTGATTGAGAAAAATATGAAATTGTTCTTATTAGTTGTAAAAAAATCTTGTCATTTATTGTGAAATAAAGCAGATCAAGAAAATTCAGTTGCAGGAGCATCTGAGTTTGGAACCAACTCAGATGAGTAAATTGATGTTCCCAGGCACTGTGTTTGGTGTAGTGTTGTTCTACATCTACAGTATTTTATTTTAATGGGCATAAGAAGGTTGAGAGTTGTGTTGGACCACATGAGAGTAGCCAATGTATTGTGCTGTATTCCTGATAAATGCTAATAGAATGAACAAGTGTTTTCTAAGCACAAAATGATTATTATAAGAAATAATACAGGTTTTCATTCACTGTATATATATATATATATATATATATATATATATATATACTCAAAAATACCATGATATAACTAGCAATACATAAATTTTAATTTGTCAATGAAATACATCAGTAAATAACAAAAATTTAAAAAATCCAAAGCAAGTCATTTACCTTGATCCTCATGTGTTGGGTGTCATCTGTGTAATACAGATATAGGCTATGCCATGTTTTTAATTGTCTCTCAAACTTGTTTTTATTGTGAATTTTCTCAAGACATGTATTTTTCCAATTAAAAATATTGTCCATATATAGTTTTAAAGAGTCCATAGACCTCTGTTGAATATATTTTGTCATCTAAATATCTATTTTCTCCAGGACCCTTATCATGAAAGATAGAAACCAGTTTTTAGAGAGTCCCCAAGAAAGTCATATATGTTTGCATTTATTTTACATTTCTCTTTTTTCACTGAGAGAAGAGTAGGTAGATTTTTTCCTAATTGTACAGTGCTATATTACAAAGAAGGAAAGACTATGTTTGACAAGTAACACAGTATCCCTCCCTAGAGAGGGAAATTATATTACACTCCTTAGTAATGGACTCATCTTGTTTACCATTTTTGGGAAGCCATCCATGGACTGTGCTAGAACTAAAACATTGTTGAAGCCATTAGGCAATGAAGTCTGGGGGTGGGGTGTGGTATGGTGTAAAATTTTTCTTGTTTCAACAGGGCCTTAGAGCCACCAAAGCAGTGGGGGAAATTTAATGGGATTCAAATTATACCCTATTTTGGGGCAGTTAGATCCACGTAATCCAAACCAAAATATAAGAATTCATATTTCTGTTCTTTTTAAACATTAAAAGGGTTAAAATCCGCTTGCTTCATGCATGGCCTAAACTCACCTTTTATTCAAAGCTTGGTAGAATCAGTTTGTACTGAGGCCCTGTCCTCTACTGATTGGGTTACCCTGGTGAAAGATTTCCTTTTAAGATGTGAATATTTGTTGTGTAAATCTAATTGGATGGAATTTTGTTCTGAGCAGGCAGAGATAAACAGAATGCATGGAGTATATATCACTTTAGAATTATTGACTGGGCAGGATCATTTGTGATTTGGAGCAACAATTAAATTATGATTTACAAACTAATACTCAGATAAGTGTATGTGCAAGAAGGGAACGAAGGTAATTACCTACTAAGACAGGGGAAAAAAATTGGATTTTAGCCAGATCTGGCTATCTCACTCTCCTCAAAGTCCTTGACTGCATTACATGGTTTTGTGATTTTCAATTACTCATTAAAGTGGAACATGAGTCTTAAATTTGGTTGGATCAGAGCCTTCTATTATTGTAACCTCCTTTTCTATCCAATAGCATAGTTGGCTCTGGCAATCTTCCAACGTTTTTAAAATAGCTTTTGCTTATTTTCCTAGTCAAGTAGGAAGTCATCATTCTCATGATAATGTTGTTCAGTTTGGTCTTGTAACTTCATTTATTTTTTGAAGAAATTGTATGTGTTCAATCAGTAGCCACAGCAATGGCAGTTTTTACTGATTGCTCAAGTTCAGGAAAAGCAGATTTCTGTAGCAGTGCTCATACTGAGATAAAACAGACAACATAAACTACTCAACAGTGAGCAGAACTTCAAACCCTCATATGCTTTACTTCATTTTACTAATGAGCCAGTTAGTGTTTTATAGTGATAGTGTATATATTGTGGGAGTTCCTAAACATTTTGAAACAGCTAGTATTGTAGATATACCACCAAAAGCATCATTTCATTTGTTTCATACTTTACAAAAGACAATTCAAATGCATCAAAAATCTTCATTGGCCATATCAGAGCACATTCTATAGAAGCTTCCAGATCCTTTGGCATCAGTTAATGATAATATTGAAAAGCTTATTGCTGCTTGTCAACAAATATCTTTATTTGATTTTGTAGAAGCCTCACACATTTTACATCAACAGAATGCTTCTACTTTACATTAAAAAAATCTGTAGGGAAGAAGCTTATCAAGTTGTTTGCCAGTATTCATAATGTGTTATACATATTCTGGCTTCACCAACAGGGGATAATCCCCATTCTTTATTGCCAAATCAGCTATGTCAAATGTATGTAACACATGCTTCAGTTTGGCAAAAATTATTATGTTCATATTATTGTGAATACTTGTTCTTAATTTATCTTTGCCTCTGCAAAGATAAATTCAACATATTATTTTTCATTGCCTATGGGCTTTTGCAGTATTACACTGTCATTCACAGACTAAAACTGATAATGCTTTAGCTTCAACTAGTTCTTCTTTCAAGTTTTGTCACCAATTTCATGTTAATTATAAAACAGGCATTCCTTATAATCCTCAAGATCAAGCCATTGTAGAGTGGACTCACTTATTTCTTAAGCTACAATTACACAAAAAGGGGGGGGATAAGACCCCACTAAATAACCTTAATCATGATTTTTTTTTGGTTCTAAATTTTTAAAATTGTGATTCTGAAGGCCATAGTGCTGCTGAGACAAGTCTTCCACTGTAACAGGTCTGTTGGTCCTAGTTTGGTGGAAAGATTTACAAACAGGGTAGTGCAGAGGACCAGATTCAGTGATAATAAGGGGTGGAGATCATGTTTGTGTTTTCCCAGAAGGTTCATTTTGTCCTATTTGGGTACTGAAACGTGCCATCAAACATGGACCTAGAGCCAACATTCAAATGACTAAAATTTAAACCAGAGATGTCAATCCTCACCCCAGCAGGAATAGGAAGGTAATATGGAGGAAAAGGATGAGCATGGATGGCCCTGCCATGCAAACACTCAAACTGCCAGTGTGTAAGCAACTGAAGAATCTTATCCAAAAGACTGAGCAAATGGTTCAACAAAAAGGAGATATTAAATCTCCAACCACAATGTTTGTGGTCATGATAACTCTATTGAACTGTCAAAGGATGTGGAATCCATGTAGAAACTCATTGGACCTATTTTCCATGTCCACCTGTAGTACACATGGTGGTGTGGACTGGAGAATCCATCCCAATATTTACTAATGATACTGATATGATGGGATGTTTTACAGATATTCACATTACACCCATCCATGTAACTGGATTTCATTATATTGGCTACAATGAGCAGTTACCTATATGCGGGTTCCATGATAAACATGCTGGCTGTTTAAAACTATCTTTTGAGGGAAAGAGTATATGGGGGACCTAGACCAGCCAATCATGCTGGCCCATGGGACTTAAGATTATATGTCAGGACAGTTATTAAAATAGTACGTTATCATAACAAGCCAGTCATTTCCATGGAACATTTACCAATACCTTACTGCTCCAATTGTTCTGCAATAGAATTTTGTACCTTTCCTAAATGAATGAAATGTGCAAATGTCATGCCAGTACAACATAAAGTTTCTAGAAATAGTGATTATATTTTTGGATTGGTCTCCAAGAATTGGCAGAGGACATCCTTGTAAGGATGCCATGACTCATGGCAGTTTTATTGGTAATGTTCTAGCTTCCAGTGGAGTTGGTATTTTAAAAGATCTCTGGTGTTTAATTGCAGCCTGAGATTTTCTACATTATGTAAATGGCCCTCTGCCTGACTTTGTAGGCTAGAATTGCAAATAGGTTTTATCCTATGGCCTGTGAGACTGTATTAAATCTCCTTATGCTTTAAACCTTGAAATATGTTTCAACATATTATGCATCATGTATTATTGGAATCATATGTTTGCTACTAGTTCTTTTTTGTATCATGATAATAAGTTGTTGGGCCCTCAGAACAAGGATCCAGGATCCTTAAATAACTGCCCATCATTTACATTTAAAAAATAAATAAGGGGGATATGCAGAAAACCACCTGTGAGCTGTGTGGGAACTAAAACAACATTGAAGCCATTAGGTAGGAAAGTCTTGTGTCTGAAAATCCCAGCAGAAATCCTGCTGTTTTGAGAATGTGTGGCTTATGTGGCTTCCTACATAGCTCCGTTACAGTTCAGAACAGCATCAGTGATGGGCATGACCCATTAAGAGCGAAACAAACTGCCTACCCTCACCCATATCCTATTATTGTGTGAAGAAGAAAGTACAGAGACAAGAATCCTCCCACACTGAAATCTTATACCCATGGATTCCCCTTGATCTATACTGCTATAAATACAGCAAGTGGTGGCTCTATCTTTGTTGGGTGCCACCCCCTTATGATTGGCTTAACCCATCATTGAAGCAACTTTGTAAAACATTTCTTCTCTTTTGTGTGTATATCATGGTTTTACTTTCATAGGTTTTATTTCTCAGCTCAGCTCACCCATCCCTCCAACAGAAACACCCATGTGGGATGTGAGCAAGAACATGTACTCTAGTATGGTTTTGGTAGTTCTCACAATGTAATTTTGTCTGTACACTTTTACTTAGTTTATGTATTTCTAGAGTAATGATGGCATTGTATTTATTAAACTGTTCTCTTGCAGATGTCCCAACAGTGCTATAATTTCATATGGTACATTTGCAAAATATATTCACCTCAGTCTATGAAGTAATACCAATTTTATTTATATTTATTTCAGCCATGACTTCTCATCTTACTGAAGAATTTTCACCAGATCAGGGCATAACATATTTATTACAAAAAGTAATAAAGGGAAGATATGGGAATTGCAACCTTGACTATTTACCACCAAGAAAATTATGGGAAACTATAAATGAGAGTGAAGTTCAAAAATCATATTATAAGGGACAAAACCAATTATCAGTGACTGTTCATAATGAAAATTTTACTGGTAACAGATATCAAGAACAATTAATATCTCAGAAAATACTGCAATTTATGCTTGTTACTTTTCAAGAACTCTTTATGTCCTTAAGAATAAATCCACAGCAATTTTGGAAGCATATATTTTCTCTGAAAGAAAATATGGAAAATCTGAGAAGACATCTAGTCCATGCTTCAATTTTTAACTTGACCAATTTCAAATGTAGCTTTGAGTTAAACTTCCTTTGGAACATTTTTCTAGACAAGAAATTTAAAACTAAAGGACTATCTTCTAAATGTGATTATTTTGAGAGTTTCTTTACAAAGTGTCCATTAGTAGACAATAAACAGATAATTCCTTCATGTGCTGAAGCACACAATTTTAACACTTGTGGCATTGTCCCTACTTACCCACTATTGTTTAATGAAAATTCAGATACAGATTTCTGGAAAACTTTCTACATATATATTGAAACAAGTAACATCTTTAGCCAGGTCTCTACCCCAGGTTATTACCAGCATATGTATATTGCTGATAAAAATTATGAATATGAAGAGCCTCATAGAAAGTTTATCATTGGTAACAATGCCAGAAAACATCTGTATACTCATTTTCCAAAGATGTTTTGCAAAGATAAAAAGCATGGTAGTTTTTCTCTTCAGTGCTTAAAACTTGTTAGTGATCCAAATATTCATAAGCAAGACAAATCTTACAAATATGAGACATATGAAACAGCTCTTAATCCACTTGCAGTCCTCATTCAATATAAGAAAATTTGTACTGGGAAAGAACCCCAAAACTTTAAAAGTTGTATCAAAGTATCTGATTGCTCAACCCTTAGTAAATACCACATATACTACAGCAGTGATAAACCCTGCATGTTTAAAGAATATGACAAAACTTTTAATCAGAAATCGCTACCTGTCAAGCATCAGAGCATCCATGCCCAAGAGAAGCCCTGTAATTGTAAAGCAAGTCTCAAGTTTAACAATTTCTCAACCGTTTCTCAATCCTTGAGATGTCATAACAGTGACAAATTCTGCAAATGTAAAGAATGTGGCCAAGCTTTTAATCAAAGCTCAGTTGTTGTATGCCAGAAAATTGATGTTAATGAGAGCTCTGAGAAATGTAAAGAAACTTCCAAAGCCTTACAACAAAATTCAACCCTTACTCCAAACCAAAGGAATCATTCTGGAGAGAAGACTTACAAATGTGAAGTATGTGGCAAAGCTTTTAATCGAAGATCTCTTGTTATTCAACACCAGAAAATTCATACTGGAGAGAAACCATACAAATGTAAAGAAATTGGCAAAGTTTTTAATGAAAGATTACTGCTAACTGAACATCACAGAAAACATACTGGAGGGAAGCCCTACAAATGTAAAGAATGTAACAATGCTTTTAATCGAAAATCAGACCTTACTAAACACCAGAAAATTCATACTGAAAAGAAGCCCTACAAATGTAAAGAATGTAGCAAAGGTTTTAATCGAAAATCAGATCTTAATAAACACCAGAAAGTTCATACTGGAGAGAAGCCCTACAGATGTAAAGAATGTGGCAAATGTTTTATTCAGAGATCAATACTTACATATCACCTGAGAGTTCATACTGGAGAGAAGCCCTACACATGTAAAGAATGTGGCAAAACTTTCAGGCACTATTCAAGCATTTTCAAACACCTGAGAATTCATACTGGGGAGAAGCCCTACAAATGTGAACAATGTGGCAAATCATTTAATCAAAAATATAATCTTGTTCAACACCAGATAATCCATACTGGAGAGAAACCATATAAATGTAAAGAATGTGGCAAAGGTTTTAATTATAGATCAGTGCTTATTGAACACCATAGAATTCATACTGGAGAGAATCCCTACAAATGTAAAGAATGTGGCAAAGCTTTTAGGCGTCATTCCAGCATTATCAAACACCTGAGAAGTCATAGTGGAAAGAAGCCCTACAAATGTGAACAATGTGGCAAATGTTTTAGTCAGAAATCAAATCTGGTCCAACACCAGAGAATTCATAATGGCGAGAAACCATACAAATGTGAAGAATGTGCCAAAGCTTTTAGTCAAAGATCACTACTTAATGATCACCGTAGAATTCATACTGGAGAAAATCCCTACAAATGTAAAGACTGTGGCAAGGCTTTTAGGCAATATTCATGCATCTTCCAACACCAGAAAATTCATACTGGAGAGAAGCCCTACAAATGTAAAGAATGTGGCAAAGCTTTTAAGCAAAATTCAGCATTTACTAATCACCAGAGAATCCACACTGGAGATAAGCCCTACAAATGTAAAGAATGTGGCATGGCTTTTGCCCGAAGATCAGCACTTACTAGACACCACAGCATTCATACTGCAGAAAAGCCCTACAAATGTAAAGAATGTGGCAAAGCTTTTAAGCATATTTCAGCATTTACTAATCACCAGAGAATCCACACTGGAGAGAAGCCCTACAAATGTAAAGAATGTGGCAAAGCTTTTAGGCATCATTCAAGCATTATCAAACATCGTAGAATTCATACTGGAGAAAAACCCTACAAATGTAGAGAATGTGGCAAATCTTTTAGGCATCACTCAAGCATTATCAAACACCAGAGAATGCATACTGGAGAGACACCCTACAAATGTGAACAATGTGGCAAAACATTTAATCAGAAATCAAACCTTGTTCGACACCAGAGAATTCATACTGGAGAGAAGCCGTACAAATGTAAAGAATGTGACAAATCTTTCAGTGAAAGGTCTGTGCTTGTGGAACACCACAGAATTCATACTGGACATAATCCCTACAAATGTAAAGAATGTGATAAATCCTTTAGGCATCGTTCAAGCTTTATCAAACACCGGAGGATTCATACTGGAGAGAAGCCCTACATATGTAAAGAATGTGACAAAGCTTTTAATCAAAAATCAGGCCTTGTTCAACACCAGAGAATTCACACTAGAGAGACTAAATACGTTTAAAAATTGTTTGAAATGACAACATTTTAAATGAAAGGTTCTTGCTTACTGACCATAGGAGAGTTTATACTGGACAGAAGATCTATGAATGAAAACAATGTGGATGAACTATTAACAAAAGATCAGTCTTTCAATATCTCTAATGAAAATAGATGCAAAAATCCTCAATAAAATTCTGTCAAATCGAATACAAAAACATATCAAAAAGATTGTGCACTATGATCGAGTGGGATTCATTCCAGGGATGCAAGGTTAGTTCAACATATGGGAATCAATAAATGTAATTCATCACATCAATAGATTTAAAGATAAGAATCATATTATCATCTCTATAGATGCAGGAAAAAAATCATTTGACAAAATACAACATCCCTTTAGGTTCAAACACATTTGTAAAGGCTATCTACGCTAAGCCTCAGGCCAACATCATTCTAAATGTAGAAAAATTGAAGGCATTCCCTCTAAAATCTGGAACAAGACAGGGATTCCCTCTCTCACCACTTCTATTCAACATAGTTCTTGAAACACTGACCAGAGCAATTAGATGAAAGAAATTAAAGGAATAACTAAAGGACAAGAAGAACTTAAACTAGCACTATTTGCTGATGATATGATTTTATTCCTTGAAGACCCAAAGATCTCCACCAGAAAACTTCTAGAACTAGTAAATGAATTCAGGAAAATAGCAGGATATAAAATCAACACCCATAAATCAAAGGCATTCCTGTATATCAGAAACAAATCCTCTGAGAAGGACATGAGGAAAACTACCCCATTGACAATAGCCTCAAATAAAATAAGATACTTGGGAATCAACAAAAGAGGTGAAAGATCTATACAATGGAAACTACAGAACCCTAAAGAGAGAAATAGAAGAAAACCTTACATGGAAAGATCTACCTTGCTCATGGATAGGCAGAATTAATATTATCAAAATGACCATTCTACCAAAAGCACTATACAGGTTCAATAAAATTCTGATCAAAATCTCAATGGCATTCCTCATAGAAATAGAAAATGCAATCCTGAAATTCATCTGGAAAAATAAGAGACCCAGAATAGCTAAAGCAATCCTAAGCAAGAAGAGTGAAGCAGGTGGTATTGCTATACCAGACCTTAAATTATACTACCAAGCAATAGTAACAAATTGCATAGTACTGGCTCCAAAACGGGCTGGTAGAGCAATGGTACAGAATAGAGGACATAGAGACTAACTCACAAAATTAAAATTATCTTATGTTAGACAAAGATGCCAAAAAATGCACTGTAGAAAAGATAGTATCTTTAACAAATGGTGCTGGGAAAACTGGAAATCCATATGCAACAAAATGAAACTGAACCCCTGTCTCTCACTATGCACAGAACTTAACTCAAAATGGACCAAGGACCTAGGAATTAAACCAGAGACTCTGCATCTAATAGAATAAAAAGTAGATCCTAATCTTCATCACGTGGGATTAGACCCCAACTTCCTTAATGAGACTCCTATAGCACAAGAATGAAAACCAAGAATCAATGAATAGGATGGATTCAAACTAAAAAGGTTTTTCTCAGCAAAAGAAACAATCTGAGGTGAACAGAGAGCCTACATTCTGGGAACAAATTTTTACCCCTCACACATCAGATAGAGCACTAATCTCTAGGATATAATAAAGAATTCAAGAAGCTAAGCACCAAAACAAAAACAAGAAAAAAAGCCCATCAATAAGTTGGCCAAGGACCTGAACAGACACTTCTCAGAAGAGGATATACAATCAATCAACAAATCTATGAAAATATGCTCATCATTTCTAGCAATCAGAGAAATGCAAATCAAAACTATTCTAAGATATCATCTCACTCCAGTTAGAATTGCACCTATCATGAAAACAAACAACAACAAGTGTTGGTGAGAATTTAGAGAAAAAGGTACACTCATACACTGCTGGTGGGACTGCAAATTGGTGCAGCCAATTTGGAAAGCCCTATGGAGATTCCTTGGAGATGTGGGAATGGAACCACCATTTGATCTAGCTATTCCTCTTCTTGGACTATACCCAAAGGACTTAAAAATAGCATACTAAAGGGACACAGCCACTTCAATGTTTATAGCAGCACAATTCACAGTAGCTAAACTATGGAGCCAACCTAGATATCCTTCAGTGGATGAATGGATAAAAAGATGTAGCATTGATACACAATGGAATATTACTCAGCATTAAAAAAATCATAGCATTTTCAGGTAAATGGATGGCATTGGAGAAGATAATGTTAGTGAAGTTAGCCAGCCCCACCCCCCAGAAAAAGCAAATGCTGAATGGGTGGCTCATAGTGCAGTAGTGAGGGAGAGCATGGGAGGATTAGATTAATTCTAGATAGGGAAGAGGGGTGGAAGGGATTAGCAAGGATGGTGGAATGTAATTGTCATCATTATACAAAGTACATGTATGAAGACTTGAATTGGATGTCAACATACCTTTTATACAAATGGAGATATGAAAAATTTTGGTATATATGTGTATTAAGAATTGTAATGCCAGTTAAAAGAACATGTATATTGGCATAAATTGGTGAGAACATACTTTGTATAGAGATACAAAAATTGTGCTATATATGTGTCATAAGGAGTGAAATGCAAAAAAATAAATCAGTTTTTATTAATCTCTGGAGAATTCATACTGGAGAAAAGCCCTACAAATTTAAAGAACATGGCAAAGGTTTTAGAAGTTGTTCCAACATCAAACTCCTGAAATTTCATACTACAGAGAAGCACTACACATGTAGCAAAAGTTCAAAGATCGCTTATTAAATATCAGAGAATTTGTAGGGGAGATAAACTCTATAAATGAGAATATTGTTCAAATACATTTTGGATGATTCAACTGTATACCATATCAGAAGAATCAGCAGAGAAATTTTACCTTTACTAATTAAAAATAAATAAAAATAATAAAGAGAAAAATCTCCAGCAGTTGTTCACATCTTACTCAGCCCCTGAGAATTCATACTGGTGAGAGTTGGTAAAAGTGGAAAGAATGAAACAAATTTTTCTCCATTTCCAAAACTTTGCCAAACACAAGGGAATTCATAGTGCATAGAAACTCTAAAAAACATTTAAAAAATAAGCCTATATTCAAATTGAAACTTTCTTCATCTAAAATCTCATTCTGTATTAAATATCAAAGACATTTTTCCCAAAATATATGCCTATATATAGATAACACCAAAATATTTACCACAAATACAAAACCTTGAAAAGTATTAAAAGTAAAGTCTTATCAAGTCCTTATATTTTGATTGACTTAAGAATTTTTATGAGAAGGCATTTAAGTATAGAAAGTGGGAAATTGCATTTAAGTTTTGTTTAAAATTTATATAGCATTAGCTAATGTGGTAGAAATAATTAAATCCTCATAGTTTCCATACTGTACTGTGGATACTTCATTTCTGATTGAGAAAAAATTAATCATAAATTAAAGATGATTAAGTGTCTTCATTTCTGGAAATTTGAGTAAACCTATTTTTTATGCTCTATTAAATCAGAGGAAGACCTATCCCAATAATTTTTAATCTGTGTATTTTTTTGAGATTTTATAATGTTAACTTTTTTTCTTTTTTTGTAATGTGGACAGAACTCAGGGTAGCTTAGCCATTAAGAGATGTTCCCAGTCTTCAATTTTTTTTTGAGGCACATTTCCTTAGGGCCTTGGTAAGTTGCTGAGGCTGCTCTTGAAACCTCGACTATCTTTCCTGAGCCTCCTTGATCACTGCAGTAATAGGCATCTGCCATCATACCCTGGTATGTATAAATTTTTAGTATAATTATGTTATTGTGGAATTTGTTACTAAATAAAAGTGAATGTTAGCTTGCTAATCCGTGTCATGTATTGAATCATGTTACTGTCTTGGCATTCCATTTTACCAAAGATTCTATATAACCGTAAAACATACTAAATAGTGACATAACATCTCCACCAATTATTCTAGAAAACTTAAACTCACTTATTTGGGGAATACAATTTGTATAAGTCAGATTGTTATGCATTTCTACTGCTTGTCATTATGGAAAAATGAAGGATATAGAGGCCACTGCATGTCTGGAGAGTCACACATCCTCCTAATAAGAGGGATTATGAGTACCCCAGAAACTAGGAGTCACCAATTCCTATTCTGTGGAAAGGAGGGTCACTGATGCTTTCACTGGTATCCATGTACTCTGTAGTGCACTAGCTCATTTTGGCAATTGGAATGTCTGGTAACCAAAAATACTGAATAAAGTGTCCAATTCTTCATGAAGTCTATAAGAACAAACTCAGAAGATTGACTGGATTAACTTTAGAAAGAGAGCCCAATATGATACTACCTGTTTGGTCTTAGACAGGCACAAGGGAAGGAACTCTAACCAATAACATGTAAAATAATGGTTGTAACACAAGAGATAGATATGCATAGAATAATTGAAACTCCTGCATAATTTGTTTTGCTGGATTTTTTTATATTTAGATATCTTTTATTCTACTTATAATTTGTAATGCTTATTATGTTTTTAGAGTATAAGATACATGGCATGGCATGAGCTCACAAAGCTTCTATACAATTTAATTCTAATAGGTCTGGATTATTATTGTTGTTGTTACTTTCAGGTCTTACAGGCACAGAAACACATGCTACCACACAAAAACAAAATTCTTATTGAAATAATCCACTAGACTATGTATGAGTCTTGTTTGAAAAGTAAAATCACTAAAATTTATCCTATATTTTCTCCATGTGTTAATCCTTTGGTCAACAAAACCCTCAGGAATATTAATTAAATTTAAATTGATTGAGAAATAAAAGTAATGCAAAAAAGTATTGAGAATCTTTGAAACAGAAATAATGGTTGTGGTTCTTGATTATTATTTTCAGCTACATAATTGTCACAGCTATGCTTCTCTCCAAAGGATATGGTTCTACCTTTTTTTGTTAATCTCTACCCCTTGTCATCCTGCACAGGAAACTTTAAAAAATAATTTACATGTAAGAAGCCAAGCATTAAAGAAGCCAATCCCATTAAACCAAATCTCAAATGTTCTCTGTGATAAGTGGATGCTGGTCTGTATTGAGGGTGGACTGGTGAGAATGAGAGAACTTTGGGTAAAGGGGAGGGAGAAATGGGGAGGGGTACGGAGTTAGCAACGATGGTGGAATGAGATGATCATCATTACCCTAGGTATATGTATGACTGCATATGTGGTTTGACTCTACATCATGTAACAAAGAAATGAAAATTTGTGCTCTATTTGTGTACAATGAATTGAAAAAGATTCTTCTACCATGTGTAACTAATTAGAACAAATAAAGAATCAAAAAAGATGTATTCTAAATATGATGAGTGTGTGATTTCAGAGAGAGTTAGTATAACTTCCAGAAACCATAATAAGATGTTTAGTTTGAAGGAACATCTGCATTATATTGCCTTGATTTATTAGAGGCATTTTCCCAGCAGTGAAGAAAAAGCAAAAAACATCTTTATCATTATTGGTTTAAAAAGTATC